TACATTGCTGACACAAAGGCTAAAGAGAGTGGTGTTTATCCCCAGCTGTTTTCATTAGCTAGCATAGCTTAGATCACAGAAAGCTCCTGCTGGGGCCTTCAGGGTAATCTAATGTAGCCCCTTAGTTTACCAAAGTCAGCAAGTAAATCCCAGAGACTTCAAACGATTGGCCCAGGGTCACACAGTGAACTAGAGGCAAAACTGAGACTTCAAACATTGTTTTTGTGGCATCCAGCTTGGTGTTCTTTCTACTCTTCCACCATGAGCTGGTGCTGCTGGCCCAGAGTTCAGTGGACCAGTGGGGTTGCCCAGCTCTGGCTCATGAAGGATGAACACAAAACTGATCCTGTTTCTCAGTCTTCTGTGGTTTGAACAACTGATCAAATCAAAACTGCTCTGGCCAGATCTACTATTAACTCTAAAAACAAATTTATTTATTTTTATTTATTATTTTTTTAATCCTCACCTGAGGACATGCCTAGAGAGAGGAAGAGAGAGAGAGCTCTTTTGGTTATCTTCTGTATGTGCCCCGACCAGGGATTGAACCAACAACCTTTTGGTGCACAGAATGGCACATCAACTATTAATTTATGAAGTGAATGGAGCTGAAAATTAGTGTCCATAGTTTAGTGTGGGGCTGACCTTGTAAGTCCTCCACTTATAACTCACTTCTATTTTCCATCTCAGCTTCTGAAGCATCTCCTCCATGGCCGTTATACACATTTTATAGTATTTCGTTGCAGCAATCCTTCATCAGGGGTAAGCATTGCCCTCTTCCTCCTCTCTTACAGATGTATCCTGGGGGTGTACATGTTTCACTTCTCAGTGTGATTGAATGGATCAGAGGTTATCCTCCCCCATGGGACACCAGTCAAGAGAGCATTGGAGAGGTCTGAAGGTAGGGTGAGAAAAGAGAGCAGATAAAGAAATGGGATGAGAGCAAAGCCAGTATGTCAAAATTAGGCCCATAGCCAACCACCTGTCATTAAGACTGTGTATATTACTATTGTGGGAAATATATCAAAGAGCTCAAATCAAAGCTATTGAGAAGCAAAAGGGAAGAGAAATGAAGTTACAGAAGGTCTACAGTCCCAGGAACTAGACTAACTGCTCTCAGTAGATTATTTTAGTTAACTTAAAAGACAATCCAGTGCAGTAGCTATCATTAGCCCCATTTTCATTGATAAGAAAAATAAAGCTATAAGAGAGCTCAGAGAGTGCTGAGTAAATCCCAGGGTGATGGGTTCTCCAAACCTATTCTTTCTCCTTTTTTAAAAAAAGCTCATTTGAGATTGGATTCCTCTTTATTATACTACTAAACCAGCTTCTCGAAGGTACCTGGTCAGGCTATTTTATAGAGCAAAAACTGAGGCCCAAAGAAGTGAAGTGACTGTGACAGGAATGGAGTCTGTCTTACTGCCTATGGTCCCCAGTCCTTGGGTTACCATAACTTTAAAAACCCTATATGAATTGATTCTTCCACTCACTGGCAGCAACAAGTAAAAGTTTAACTGTTAATGAAATGGTTGGAATCCCACATCAGAAGGATGGCGATTGGTCTGCATGTTCAGAGTCTTCCATGAATCCCATTCCTGTTCTTATCTTGCTTTTTTTTTTCTTTATTGATTTTTGAGAAAGAGGAAGGGAGGAGAGAGAGAAAGAAACATCAATGAGAGAGAACATCGACTGGCCGCCTCCTGCATGCCCCTCACTGGGGATCAGGCCCACAACCTGGGCATGTGCCCTGACCAGGAATCTAATTGGCAACCTCCTGGTGCATGGGCTGATGCTCAACCACTGAGCCACACCGGCTGGGCTGGTCTTATCTTGCTTTTGTAGCAAACATTCATTTAGCATACACATCACCTCTTTTAATTCCTCAAGTCCCATGTTTTGTTAAGCTAAACAAACAAAACTCAGTGTTTTATGGGGGGAATATAGATGCCTGTTGAAAGTGATGTATATAACATGCCCAAAACCTGTTTGAAATGTTAAAGCATGAATTTCAGAACAGTGTTTTTTCATTAAGTACTGCTGCTCATTCAATTTAGAAATACTCATAAAAATGAAACAAATTGACTCAATACTTTGCATATTTTCAATTTTTGTGACAAAAATCGCTTATTATTGAGCATATGAACATTTTAAAAAATTAGTGACAGCTGGAAAGGCAGGGTTGAGCATAATGATCAGGATAAGGGGGAAACCATATTTTGTTAGTGTTTTATGCTAAACTCTAAAGAGTACCAGCACTTTCTTTGACATTAAGTTTTCACTGTTTCTGTTCCAATTTGAACAGGGAACTCTGATGACAGCCTTGTTACAAGGTCCAGAATAAGTTCAGCTGCTGATTGCCTGGTGGAACTCAACAAAATGTCATAGAAATCATTGAGGACTAGGCCTATGCTTTCCCCTGGGATGAAACTCTGGAGGTTTGGCAGCCCTCTGGCCCTTGAGGACAGCAAGAATTCATGTGAGCTTGAATGTTAGAGCAGGAAAGTGCCCTTTGAATCATAATATCAATTTTGCCTTCTTAAAAATAGGGAAGCTGAGCCCAAGAGCAAGCAAGTGGCTTCTTCATAGTCATACAGGGTCTCATTAGTGGCAGAGTCAAGAGACCCACGTTTCTGGATTCCCAGGCCCATGCTCTTTCAGGATTGCTAGAAGCATTGGAACTTCCTGCCAAGTACCAACCGGGTCTAAGGAGAACACAGTTTTTGGAACACACAGGAAGAATTCCTTCTTCTTAGCAGGAAACCTCTTCACCCCAGGAGGGTTCCTCTGAGATTTGTGGGACTCTTTTTGCCCCTAAAGATAATTTTCTTCTTTTTTTTTTAGGAGCCCTGATATATAAAATCTACAACGAGAGAGGTATTTCTTTGTTCTTCTTAGAGCATGCAAAAAGGGCTTGTAAATGCAAGTATCCTCTAGTGAGCTGCTGTATACATTCACACACTAGAATGTTAGTGACATATTAGATCTCAGAAACCGGATTTTACAGCCCAATTCTTTCCCTTCTTTTGCTCTGCAACTACCAACCTGGCAGCCCTTTTTTTCTGACAGTTAGACTGTGTGTGTGTGTGTACATGTGCTCCTTTTCACTACCTAGATGAGTAAATCCTGATTTTTCCTCGTACTGGCTACCACTCCCTCACCCTCACCTTCACCCAAGAAATTTCCCATGTTCTAATCCCACAAATCTCTCTTAGAGTAGAATCTCCAGTTGCTGGGGACATGAATGCATTACCCACCTCTTTCAAAAGTGTTTTCTTAGGAATCCCACTGAATGCCATTATAATGGTGTAACAACAGAGGGGTCCCCATATGACACCATGATGAGAGCCACTTACTGGATAGACTAAAGAGGTTGACTGTGTGGTTGGCTGAATGAAAGGTGGGGACAGCTGGCAAACCGAGTTCCTGGTTACCCCCATGGCTCCCCACTTCTCTGGTTCTCACGCTCACCAGCCCTCAGGGGGATTAGGCATGTCCCACAAGCTTGGGGAATCAGAGGAGCTCCCAGGGAAGCCAAGTTGCTGCACCTGGCTCCTTAGTATAAGTTCAGCAGTCACAGTTTCCCTCTGGAATCCAGGGACAGGTGGAATGCCTGAAATGCAGGATTCCCAAGTTTTATGCCTACAGGCAGACAAAGGGATCTTTACTGTTCCCAATAGGCTTGGGGGGCACATAAAAAGACTGGGGAAGTTTGAGAGGAGCTAAGGGCAGGGGGCACAGCTATAAAAATCACCCAAGGGCCCCTTCCTTAGTTGGCCTGTGACTCTGTTGGCACATTCAAGCTTAGAGCATTAGGAAAACACAGCCTCACATTTGAAATTGCCTGAAGAATAATGTTACAGTGACCCAGGTGGCCATAAGGAGGAGTTGATTCTATTTTCCAGAAGAAGAAACTGAGGCTCTGGAGGGGCAAATGATTATCCCAGTGCTGCCTGGCCAGGAAGTGACAGCTTTTCAGGACTCTTAGACCAGTGCCTGGTGCTTCATTGCACAGAAAAATCAGGAAAATGAAGCAGAGCTCAGGGAGGGACCAAATGTTCCTAGGGAGACACAGGGAAAGCCATTCTCTGGAGGCACTTGCTCCCACCCCAGGACTCATATGACTGTCCCCCACTCCCAGCCCCAACAGTCCTGAAACTCTGCTGCCACCCCGAGCCACTTCTGCAGCAGTGGTACTGAACAGAGTGGGTATTCATTCATGGAAACAGCAGTTCCCTATATACAGCAAGCTCCTCCTAATCAATCATATGGGAATAGTCTGAGTCCTGAGTTTCCAAGTATCTTGTGCTGGGGACACTCCCCCTTCTTTCCTTGTTAATCCTTACATATTTTATTTTTGTCCTGCGGGATAAGAGTCTTTTGAACACTTGGGCTTGAGGATGCACCTATTTATTACAGGAATGGGTTGATGGTTTCAGGTTTCTTTGGTTAAAACCCTGGGGCTCTGCTCTGTGACACTGGGTACATTTCTTCCTCTCTCTAAGTCTGTTTCCTCATTTGTCACATCACATTGGATTAGATGTCCCAACTCTGATGTGGTATTTAGTCATGCACCTTTCCTTCATAAATCTTATATAAGTGAAGCTTCGATGCCAGGGATTCAGCAAGAAGAGGGTGGTTTGTTTCTGCTCTGAAAAATCTCACATTTTCATTCTGTAATTTTTTTTTGTCATGCTTCTCCTTCAGGTTGACTTACCTTTTCAGAAAAAAAAAACAAAATAACAACAACAAAAAAAAACTCCCGCTTCCCTTGGAGAATGAAAATTGGCAAAGGCCCAATTTGCACCTTTGCTATTTTAGGGAACATTGAAATTATAAGCCATAGTGGAGTGATGCGTTCACTATAATGACTGCCTTCATCTAAGACAAGAGAAAACCCAGCTCCTCTGCTTGTGGAGTGGCTCAAGCTCTTATGCGTGAAGCAGTATTACATAAATTCAAGCTTGCTCCAGATCCTTAGTACCCTGAGTTGCCTGAAGGGGGTAATGGCACTGCCTGCATTTGCAGCCCGAGCACTCAGCCTCCACTGCAACCGGAGCGAGGAGCGCCCGCCCGCACCACCTGTCCTCGCCGGCATTCCAGACTAGAGGCCGAACTGGCAGAGAGCCGGCTGGATCAGTCGCTGCTTCAATTCTTCCGGACCCTCCCAGGAGTGTGTCTCCTGAATTCAACTTCCAGACGCTGCAGGACAGCCCCTAAAGGCGTCTTACTGCCTGGCCAGAGCCACTCGCGCCCTACTCTTCGCGCTGCCCCCAGGCCGCAGCAGGCGGATGCGCGACCTCAGGAGACGGTGGGACCTGGGCCCCCTCTGCCAGGCCCTGCTCACTCGCGGCCTGGCAGCCCTGGGCCACTCGCTGAAGCACGTTCTCGGTGCAATTTTCTCCAAGGTTTCCGGCCCCCTAGCCAGGTACGTTTTATGCGAAAGCCTTACTCACACTCCCGGCCCGGAAAAGCGGGAACCGTGAGTCGAGGGGAAAGGAAGGGCGCAAAGTTCCAGCTGGCCAGTGGAGACCAGGCTTGGGCGCTCCGAAGGGATGTAGTGCGCATTTGGCCACGCTGCTGGTCCCTCCCCGAGGTTCCGCGGCCACTGGCAGTGCTGGGTCTCTGCTTGCAAGTCGGGTTGCCGAGGGACTCCTTCCTCCAGGGGAACTCAGCACTCCCGGCTCCGAGTTCACTCCAGGTGGCCACCAAGGGGTGCTGGAAAGAGCAAGGTGGTGGTGGTGGTGGTGAGGGGTGGGGTTAGGGAGGAAGCCCACTCGGGCTGGCTGGGAGGTGGTGGCCTAAATGCGAAGTGGACAGGGGTAAAGAAGCTCCTGGGAGAGTCCAGTGGGCGAAGCGGGGTGGGGACGGGAGCCACCAAGCCACAGAGAGTGGAGGGAGACATGCAGAGGCTGAGACCGGGGCAGGGGTATGAGTTAGAAAATGGGACAACAGGGGTCTTTGGGGTACAAAGCCCTGTGAAATGACTCCTGAGAGCTTGGGAGCGGGGAGAGGGCAGGAGGCCAGCGGGACAAAGTCGGGGGTGAGAGGCGGGGGTAGGGGGTGAGGGGGTGGGGTTGTGCAGCAGAAGCCACTGCGCTGAGCCTGCTGGGAAGGAAGGAAGGAAGCAGAGTGGGGTGCCGCCTTCGCCCCGCCGCTGCCTCAGCGGTAGGGTACTGGGTGTGGATGGGAGGGGGGGAAAAGGGCCCAAGGCGACGTTTGGGGAAAAGGGGGTTTGCGAGCGCAAGGCGAGTGCCGGCTGAGCTGAGGAATTGACGTAACGAGCTTGGGTTTCCCCCAGCGTCGGGAATATGGATGAGAAATCGAACAAGCTGCTCCTGGCTTTGGTGATGCTCTTCCTATTTGCCGTGATCATCCTCCAATACGTGTGCCCCGGCACAGAATGCCAACTCCTCCGCCTACAGGCGTTCAGCTCCCGGATGCCGGATCCTTACCGCTCAGAGGATGAGAGCTCTGCTAGGTTCGTGCCCCATTACAATTTCAGCCGCAGCGATCTTCTGCGCAAGGTAGACTTCGACATCAAGGGTGATGACCTGATCGTGTTCCTGCACATCCAGAAGACCGGAGGTACCACTTTCGGTCGCCACCTGGTGCGCAACATCCAGCTGGAGCAGCCTTGCGAATGTCGCGTGGGTCAGAAGAAGTGCACTTGCCATCGGCCGGGCAAGCGGGAGACCTGGCTCTTCTCCAGGTTCTCCACAGGCTGGAGCTGCGGGCTGCACGCTGACTGGACCGAGCTTACCAGCTGCGTGCCCTCCGTGGTGGACAGCAAGCAGGACGCCAGGCTGAGACCGTCCAGGTGAGTACGTGCAGGTGGTGCAGTGGGGCTCTGGACCGCGGGAGTGCCTGGGACACCAGTGCTCACCTCTGGCTTCCTAGCGGTTGCTTCCCTGAAGGGCAGGAACCTGGTGCCCTGATGTGCACACTCAGGACAAGGTGGCCCTAGGAAGCCTGAACGCCTGCTTGTCTGTTCCTGGGTTGGCCTGCTTGGTGGCTGGGAGCTGGTGCGGGGGAAGAGGCTGAGAGTTCCTGAAGGAGCATCCCTCGCCCACTGCTGGGAAGGGGTACTGCACAGACTCCAAACTGGTGCGCTGGATAGAACCGCGTTGTGTGTAGTGTCCATGAGCCCCACCTGTCCTCGCTCTTCTTCGCAGCCTGGTTCCAAAGTCTCCTTTATACTGTCTTCCTTTCTCACTCCTACATTCTTTTCCCCTTTTATTTTGGCTTCTATGTGCCTTTCCCTCTTTCTCATGCTCCTGTTCTGTCTTGATCTCTCCTTCTCCCATTTTCTTCTCTCATTTTGTTTCTCTTAGTTCTCTTTCACCATTTCTGTTTTTTCTCTTTCTGGCTGACTTGTTACCTCTCTCCTCTCTGGCTTTACTCTACCAGGGAGAATGGGTTTCCCTCTGCAGTTGTTTGAAAACACCGGAGAGAGGTCCTGGTACCCAGTTTGAGACCCTCTCTACTGGCTGCACACCAGGCATCTGTGGCATTTCTCCAGTGCAAGGGGCACCCCGCGGGCCAAAGGGCAGGTGGGGACGCTGCCCCCACCCCATGTAGGGTTCAGCCTTGAGAAACCATTCATGATTTACAAACCACCACTGTCAAGGTGCCACCAGCCCATTTGCTGGAACCCAGGACTGATGCCGGAAAAAAACTGATTTATGAAGATCCTGTAACCACTTGCTTTTGAAGTTAGGGCATTTTCCTTCATCCAGCTGCAATGCTGGGTTGGTGGAGGTAATGGAGTATCATAAAGGTGGAAGTGAGGAGGGTGCGTTGGGGTGCAGTTTCTCCAGCTAGGGCTCCCATTCTCCCTAAAACAAATTTGATCTGGACAGATAAAGGAATGCTTAAGGTAACTCTAGTTGCCTGGGGGCCTCAGGACTTGGACTCTGGGCAGGCAGAAACATGGCCATGCTCTTTACTTCCATATGGAAGTGACCACAGGGGCTCTTGAGGTTGCTGCTGCTGCTGCTGCTATGGGTGCCTGTCTGGATCCTCTCCCAACACCCCTTAAACCTCCACGGGAGGTACCCTGTGCTCTGGAGTAAGCAGCGCTATGAATGTGTCTCTTGCAGTGCCACAGCCAGTGTAGTTTCTTATGTCAATCCACAGGCAAATGGAGCCTTCTGACTTTCTGACCACTACTGAGATTCAGAGGAATCATCACCCCCTATTCACTTTCCCCTCCCTCAGTTTACAGTGTCCTCTCTTGAATGCTGGAATCACAGAAGAATCTGTTGAATTTTCATTTCCTTTCCAGCGCTAACAGATTTTTTTCCATCTTATGAGAATCTTGGCCTCAGGAAGTTTGCCGCCTCAATCCATTATGAGAATTGTGTAAGTCATTGTCACCAAAATATTCTGGTATTTAAGAAGATTCCAAACAATGTGGCAGTATTGCAAATAATATCTCTTGCTGCTGCTGGAGCTTGTAAGTGTAGTGATGGGTGATGATATAAAAAGCTCTTTAAGGGCAAAAATAAAATTTTACAGCTGTGTCAGAGAAGTAAAACAGATCTTGGCCACAATGGAAGCCATAGCCTCGTCTAGTGTTCCACAGGCCACATATGCCTTTTAAGATCCTTTTGAGTAAGTAGGTTAGGGTGTGACATGTTCTATAAACACACCTCCTGGATTGCTCCAAATCAAAATAAAATCATTTGAAAAACATAAAGAGATTTTCTTGGTCATAAAAATGGTGAAACCACAGTGTCATTTAGTCTAATCAAAGAATAACCACCCTTTAAAGAGAGTTACAAGGACCAGGGTTGCCATACCCATTAGAATATTTGCAAAAATGAAATAAAATTTGCTAGAGAAACACCATGCTACTCCAAGGGCACTTTTTTATTTTAATAATTCCTACCCATCTCCAGAATTCTTCATCTTGAAGAATAGTGAGAGCCTGAGAGTTCCAGAATTTCCCAGGATGTTAATAAATCTATGCTTTCAGGATCAGTTCTGTGAGTTCTAATAATCTGTAAGAGCCAAGAAATGCCTAAGTGAGAATGAGAGAGGGAGAGAGAGAAAAAGAGAGTGCGTGCACAGACGTGCACATGCACACGCTCACTGTCAAAATTAGACAGAAGCAGCTGTACTGGCAGTGATGTGTGAGGGTGAGGAACCGGTCTCAAGAGATGAAAGAGTCAGCAATTGGGAGTTCCTGAGTCCAGCAGCCTTCTATGCCAGCTAGTAGTCTCTGTACTCTGCTGAACTGAGGGGAACAACAGCTTAGCCTGTTTGGCCTGTGAGTTCTGACACCTGGGTCTTAGTTCTAGGCCATCCATGACCTGTGTGATCCTACACCAGAGATTGTCCAAGCCTGATGAGTGTGAAGAGCACATTCCAACTTCTGATGATGAGCTTTTACATTTCTTATCTCTGATGTTTCTCTGTAGAATTGCACTATCTTTGGGAATATGGCAGAGTGGGGAAAAGTATCCCTATTTATCAAATGAAAGTGAAGCCCAGAGGTGCTAAAGGACTTTCCCAGGTCATTGCGCACTTTAGTGACACAGCAGCAATCTTACTCCAGTTCTGTTTTACTCCGCAGCTGTTTTGGTCTGTTCACTATGCCTTGATGAGTGAGGGTTTTTGCAGAAGCACAGTGAGATAGTTCATGTTAGTAATTAACATAAAGTGGGCACTCAACAAATGTCAACTGATACTGTTATCATGTACATCATCACTGTTTTTAGTAATTTTACACATGTGAGTTTGGATGAGATTTTGGACCAGAGTTACCACACCCATTGGAAGAAGAGATTTCCATCTCTTCATGCTCACCAGGAATAGGTCTCTTGGCCAGGTTGCAGAGGGGCTTTTCATTGCCCTGTTGGAAATCACTACAAAGCAAAGAATGGGAGGTTGCTGGGAGCCTGGTGAGTAAGTCTCAGCAGGCAACTTCAGCACTGGCAGGGGCCACTTTCTGACTCACAGACATCCATCCACATTAGGAGGGCATGAGAGGCCATGTCGGCCATACACCAAGACCCTATATCCTGCTCTCAATGCTACATTTGAGATGTTTCCCTCCCTCAGCAGATGGTAAAGTGCTTGGGCGATACATGTTTGCTGAATAGAAATGACTATGATCCTGTCACTCCTGGAAGACAGAGAGAGTGCTTGACTGGCAAAAGGCATGTTGTTTATTAAGAATATTTCTTTTTGAAAAACCTAGAAATTTTATTTCATGCATCTGTTTACCAGTATGTTGTTTGATATGTGAGAAGAGTCCTACTCATTCTAGGATTTCTAAGTCTATTTTAGAAAATGTATTAAAACATTGTTGCTTACTAGCTGTCAAAACTCGCAAATTCTGCAGACTTTTTTCAGGCCAGATTCCTTCTGTTTATAGTCAACTGTAGTGCACCACCTGGTCTGTGGGAGGAATTCAGAATTGAGCTCCAAGAAACTGCTCTAGCCTCATTCTTCTTCTCCAGGTGTGGCCCTGGCCTGCACACAGTGTGGCTGGGAGGAGGAGGAGGTCAGGATCTACACAATTCAAAGAATCTGATCATCATATTCATGTTGCATCCTAGAATTTTAGCATCTTTAAATTTTCCAGTAACCATATGGGAGAGTAATTAGTTGTTATCTAAAATTCAGTAGGCTATCACTAACATGAAAGGACCAAAAGTCATTTATATGGAGAAAAGCTTTTTTCTTTTTCGTTATGCCTTTTTAAATATTGTGGTAACTGCTTTATTTTTTTCTATTTCTTTTTAAAAGGTAGTTTTGAAAGAGCTGTGTATTTTATTTTTTAAATTTTATTTTTAAATTATGGTTTATATTTAATATTATGTATTAGTTTCAGGTGTATAGCATAATAGTTAGACAATAATATAATTTATAAAGTGTTCTCCCTGGTATTTCTGATACCTACCTGGTACCCTATATAGTTATTAAAATATTATTCACTATATTCCCTATGATATACTTTACATCCCTGTGACTGTTTTGTAACTGCAAATTTGTACTTTTCAATTCCTTCACCTTTTTCACCCAGTCCCCTAATGCCCCTCTCCTTTGACAACCATCAGTGTGTTCTCTGTGACTATGAGTCTGTTTCAATTTAGTTTGTTCATTATTTTGTTCTTCAGATTCTATATAAAGTGAAATCATATAGTATTTGGAAAGTGCTATATCCTAATAAGAACTCCATAGTGCATGTGCTTGCTCACACTCAATGTGCCCTTTCTCCCACTCCTTCATGTTTTGGATTCTGCAGTAAAGCATGATGAATCAACAGGCTTGTGGTACAGGGTGAGGCAGCCAGTGAATGGACTGTTACAACCAGGAATGTTGTCCATCAGGCTGTAGGCCATTTGCCTCTCCCCGGTTAGCTTTACTTACTAAGGATTAATTTCTTCAGCTGTCTCTGATAAGTGCTTTTGTTATACCCTCCCACTATTTTACAGGAGAGGGGCAGACATTCACTATAATAACATCTGTAGACCTTCATCAGTATTAGATAACATCTCTGCACAGAGGGAAAACATATTATTTGGAGTCTAATAAAGCTCAAAGTTCCTAAAGAAGTATAAAAGGTCATTCAGAATTAGCATTTCTTAGTAGTAATTTTACATTATTGCTGTTATGTAACAATAACAATGTTAAAGCTTGTCATTTATTTATTTATTTATTTATTTATTTATTTATTTATTTGGTACATGCCCCTAGTGGGAACCAAACCCGGGACTCTCTGGTCTGCAGACTGACGCTCCAACCGCTGAGCCAAACTGGCCAGGGCAAAGCTTGTCTTTTATAGGTACCTGTCTTCAATTTATGCAG